TTTTTTTTTTTTTTTTAATTGGGGAATTGGGGGAAGGGGAACAGACAAGTTGCTGTCCTTTTTTTAAGCTGAGCCATCCTGCCATCTGTTGGCAGCTCAGCAGCTGCTCAGCTCGGGCTGGGAATCAAACCGCTGTTGCTCAGAGCTCAAACTCTTGAGTGAGCTCTTAACCAACTGAGCCACTCAGCTGGCCCAACAATGCTTTCTTATCCCAGCCCAGAAGAAAGTCTTTTTCTAGAGAACCAAGTGAGTGGTCCTCATGGTCTTTAAAATTTAGAGCCAACATTTATAAATTAGGACCATTAGCAAAAAAAAATCTAGACTTCCAGGTTTTCTCAAAGGGTCAGAAGATCCAGCAGTGATGAGTCACATACGGGCATAGCAACAAGCCCTGGAGCTGCAAGTGGCCGCCTCCTCTATAAAGGGCAGGCCTTCTATTATTGGGTTGTCGGAAAAGTCATGACGCATTTTTGCAATGAAAAACATAGAAAAAATGTCATAGGTTTTCCGACAACCCAGTATTATAGACAATATTATTGTAGTTCTCTCTCCTTCCAGGCCAAAGCTCACTCGCCCTTTGGAATCTGTGATGCTAGTAGATGGCTCTGGTCAAATGGGCCTCTCACTTTGTCAAGGCTCTGGGGGTCAGAAGACAGCCCAAATCCAAGAGGGGCTCTAACAGTGACTCCCAAACAGGGGACACAGACCCCTGAGAGGGGCAGCAAAAGTAGGCAGAAGGGGCAACGGCTTTCTCACCATCCACCACCTCTGGACGTCCGGGGGCAGATCCATGTTCTCTCGGGTCCACACAGGGGAAATGTTGCTGTCAAAGTGGCTGTCAAACCAGTCGGAGGCGCCAGCGTCGCCCATACAACGGCGGCAGGCACAGCTCTTGCCAGCAAGCCCCTCTTTGCTGAGGCGCTGTAGGCCAGCGTAGCCAGGCAGAAGCTTTACCCGGTGGGCTCCCCCCAGGGCCCCTAGGTCCAGGTAAGGCAGGGTGGCCATGCTGTGATGGGAGTAGGTGAAGAGCAGTGACATGATGAACACCAGCAGGAAGGCCACGGAGAGGAACCACACCCGCAGGGAGCACTTCATGGTGCGAGACTCCAAGAGGCCTGGGCCACCAGCCCGGCGTGCGGCCGGGTGTCACTGTGGCAACTCCTTTCCCAGCCCACCACTGGGCCAGCCACAGCGTAACCTGCTTGTTCTAACACTGGGTACAAAGGGCATAAGGGCATGTGCCAAAGGGGAGATAGCGGCAGGAGTCCCAGGCCACACCCTCTTTCAGTGTAAGGAGAAAGAACGTGCAAGAGTGGCTCCCCTGTCCCTGAGCCACTTGGGCCCCTGCTTATGGCTTCATTGGGTCTCTCCGTCACTAGCTGGGCCACAGATGCTCTGCCTCTCCCAATGCCCCGGCAAGGGGGAGGTCAGTCCATTCCAGCCTTCTAGTCCCTTGGGGTTGCTGGCTGCCAGCTCTGGAGGCCCCCCTCTTTGGTGGCTTGAAATGGTCCAGTCTGGAGCAGTCGGGGTCCTTGTGGCTCATGAGCAGATGCCGAGGCAGCCCCTCGTCCCCTGCAGCAGGGAAGCCCTTGAACCCCAATCACAACAGAGAAAATGTGGGCTTCAAGCAGCCTAGATTCCATGCAAGAGGTGTCCACCCCTCCACTAGGGGAGGGAAACCAGGCCCCAACCCTGAGAGAAGAAACCCAGGAAGCTCTGTGGGTGTTAGAAAATTCTGCTGCAGAGACCAAGATCCTCCTTGCATTAGGTTCTGCCCTTCCGCTTCCCATCCGAGATGCAGATCCTTTCTCCTGATGGTCACAGCCCCAACTGCAGCTGTATAAGGGGTTACAGAGCTCCTGCTCCTGCAATGGGGTCCTCTGGGGCCTGGACGCAGCTGCTGCTCAGCGGGGTGTGGCTTCGAATGCAGTCTGGGTCAGCCGAGCGTGTGTGGATCTCCCTGCCAGGGCCCAGGCCTCTTTCCTGGTATTGCTGGCCTGGGCTCAGAGGCTGCTTTGCCCATCCCCGCTCCCCTGAGGCCAAGCAGTTCAGCTGTCCTGCCGTCTTGCTGTTAGCTCCTGCTAGCAGTAATCCTCCCTCAGGTTTCCCCTCACTTCTCAGGTGCTGGGCTGCTGCAGCATGATCCTGAAATTGCAGAGAGGAAAAATAATAAGCAGATAAATTGTGTGTGTGCACACATGTTCTCCCCTAGCCCCACCTCCAAGTCCCAGGGGGGACAAAGCTGGCGGTAGAGATAACACCCCCTTAAGCAAAGGATAGATAAAAGAAAGGGCTCTCGCCTCTAACTGTCCAGATAGCACTGCTCTAGCAACTAGGGCCTCAGAGGATGAGATTAGCCCACCATCCTCACTTATTAGCCAGAAGATAAACAAGGGCAATTATTTCCTTAGAGTCACATGGCAAGTCACTGAAACAACAAGGTTTAGAAAGTTCGTAGTCCAGGTGTATGATGTTAATTTTAGGTGAAATTTTGTTGAAAAATAGCCCACAGATCTCAGGGGACTGAGGATATGACTCCCCATCCTCATGCTCTTGCACCCTCTGATGCTTGTGAGAAGCCCCTCCAAGTAGGACGGGGGCGGGGTCTGGGCCCTGAAATTTGCCCCCTTCTCTCCTGGGTTAGCTTGGTGAACCATTAACAATCCTTCCAGCTCTGGTGTCAGGGAGAGAACCTGACTGTGTCTGGACCCACGGGTACCAGGCACTCAGCCCTCTGAGCTGTTGCCTTCATCTACAGGTTATGGATGAAATGAATGCCAGGGTCCCTGTGGGTGCTGGTAGCCTGAGGCCATGTGCTGCCCTGCCAGGCAGAGCAAGGAGAAAAGGACACTTGATTACGGTGGGGGGCTGGGCCCTAAGGAAAGGAGCCTGAATCCATGCCACATGCAAAGGAGTTGGAGCAAGGTGAGAGTGGAGCCTCCAGGCCCTGGCCCCATACCACAGGGATGACTTAATTTTGGATGCCTGCCTCTTCCCACCAGCGCCTGTCTGAATCTAGCTAGCCCAGTTCTGCCCTGGCCCCCAGGCCTTACAGCGCCTCACTGAAAAAACTCCAGCTCCAGCCAGCCCTTTCAAGGTCCTCTGGCTGCTGCCAGCAGCTGCAGAGGCCTCTCCAGCTCTATGTTCATGAACCTCAGCTGACCTCTCATGGCAGTTCACATTTCTGGGGCCAGGCCAAACCACAAAGCCATCAGGGAATGGAACTAGCATGTTCCAATAAGGATGGCATTATTCAGGGGCAAAGCAAGACAATGTTCACAGAAGTGAAGGAACTTGCATAAGGTCATGACCTCAAGAATGGGAGTGAAGGCCGGCCGAGTGGCGTGATGGTTAAGAACTGGCTTGGGANTAACATTGGTCCTGCTTCCAGGAAGGGTGGTTCCCACACTGATTTCAAACCAAGATATGCCTATAAGCAGAGTCACCTCCACCGCCATCAGGCTCCTTATAAGTCAGCAGACAGCCAATTACTATCCGAGTCAGTCCTTCCACAAAGCGATTCTGGGGTCCACTCCAAAATACCACAACTCGTAGCCTGGTCCCTGTGAGGGAACTTGTGAATTCCTCTCTGCAGCCTGGACTGACCAGGTGCTGCCCAGGTGCCATAACAGCCAAGCCTTTTTGTCTGTTGTGCTTCTACCCTGGCGCTTCCCAGCCATCACTGAGGTGAAGGTGGCAGGGCAAGGGAAGCAGGGGCTTCAGGCAGTCCAGAGCATTTCCCTGGCCTTCTCAAGTGCTCCAGGGCTGCACGGGAGCGACGGACGCTTCATTCCCCAATCTCAGCCACTGTCTGGGTGGACAGAGGCCCCTCTCCAGCTCCCAGCTTGCCTCCCTTGCATTCTGGGTGCCAGCAATGGAAGGATGGGGACAACCTCAGGTGGTTCTGGGTTCCTGGGTGGGGCCTAGCATCCCCCTACCTCCCCCATCTCCTATCATTCTCAACATGAGAAAGGTTTTGCAAAGAATGTGGAAAGCCTGAGACATATTGCTGCCTTGGTGTTGCTATGGAGACAGCAATAGTTTCTAAGACAAAGTCCTTCCTTCTGCCTCCTGGGAAACCTGGTCTATCTGCAATGCTCATCTTAAGAGATGCTTATTGAAAACTGGGCATTTTCAGTATCTTTATTCTTAAGGCTCTTCTTCCACCAAGAACGTCTAGAGAAGTCAGAAAACAGATTCAGAGCAAAGGAGCGGCCCACGCTCAGGTTACAAGTCTGCCCTTAGTCCCCGTTCACCCCCAGGTTCCTTGCTCTGTGTCTCTATCTGGAATGAATGCTCTCCCAACCCTGCTGTCCTCGAGGCTGGGCATGAACGAATAAGCCCCCACACAATCTAAACCTCGTGAAATAAAGGTAAGGGACAGCAGCCCAGAGCCAATATGGGATAGCAACTTTTTCTGCCCATGACATCTGTCTTGTATGAGTCTGCCAGAAGGAATCACCTGTGGCTATTAAACAAGATGCTAGTTTGGTTTGGGGCCCTCACTCCTGGCCCATCTACTGAGGGGACCAGGCAGGTGGAAAGGCCTCTGGTGGGAGTTTTCACCAGCTGCCAGCCAGGAATCTCGTTTCAGCTCTTTTCAGAGTAATTCAGAGTTGAAAACTGAGTACAGGCCTCAAGCAAAGTCTAGAATGGGAATTCTACCTCCCCACCCACCAAACAGAGGGAAGAGCCTGTCAAGAAGGTTCTGGGTGTCAGAGATCCAGAGCAACCCTAGCAGTTGGCAACTCCTCTAATGCCAGATTAGGACAAGGTCAGTCCCCCCTCAGAGAGGCTTGTCCTGGGCCTAACCTCAGGCTTCTATGGCTCACCTCATGATGAAGTTGTGCCCATCCACATCTGGCCCATAGCCAGAGCCCCTCAGGTTGCCCGAATTCCCAACCACAGCACAGCGCCGGCACTGCTGGGGGTCCCGGAAACGGTATGGGTTCTCGCCTGGCACTATCTGGAACAGCTTCTCCAGCACCTCGTTGGTGTTGTGTGACTTGAACTGGGGCTGCAGCATCTGCAGAGGGGAGGGGAGGAGAGCAGGTGTGAGCAGGGCCCCCTGACCTTAGGAACTCTGACAGTCGGGGCCAGGAAGCGGGATCTGTGAGTCGTTCTAAGCCTGCTCACGTGAGCGCATCCTCACAGCTTCCCTGAAATGTGAGAAAAGTGGGGAGTCACCATCCTCCCCATCTGCCAGCTGGGGAAACTAAGGACTATGAGTTGTGGGGCCAATCCCCCAGTGGGAAAAGCAGGCAGTCTGTGGGCCCCAGGGTTAAGTACTGACGCTGCTCTGCCCTTGACATGTGTGCCAACCAGGTGGCCCTGGCAGCGTCTGCAAGTGCCACTTCAGAGAAGATGGGTGAGGTGAAGGGGTTTATGAGCAAAAGCAGCAGAAAGGTGATGGGACCCAGAAGAACGGGAGGCTTGGGCACAACTGTCCCCTCATCTCCTCCCCTTTAC